TACCATCTAGCCAGCTTCTATCACTCGCCTTACCGCTACCCCTACCATCTAGCCAGCTTCTATCACTCGCCTTACCGCTAACCCCTACCATCTAGCCAGCTTCTATCACTCGCCTTACCGCTAACCCTCACTACCTAGTTAGCCTCTATCACTCGCCTTACCGCTAACCCCTACCATCTAGCCAGCTTCTATCACTCGCCTTACCGCTAACCCTCACTACCTAGTCAGCCTCTATCACTCGCCTTACCGCTACCCCCTACCATCTAGCCAGCTTCTATCACTCGCCTTACCGCTAACCCTCACTACCTAGTCAGCCTCTATCACTCGCCTTACCGCTACCCCCTACCATCTAGCCAGCTTCTATCACTCGCCTTACCGCTAACCCTCACTACCTAGTCAGCCTCTATCACTCGCCTTACCACTAACCCCTACCATCTAGCCAGCTTCTATCACTCGCCTTACCGCTAACCCTCACTACCTAGTCAGCCTCTATCACTCGCCTTACTGCTACCCCCTACCATCTAGCCAGCTTCTATCACTCGCCTTACCGCTAACCCTCACTACCTAGTCAGCCTCTATCACTCGCCTTACCGCTACCCCCTACCATCTAGCCAGCCTCTATCACTCACCTTACCGCTACCCCTACCATCTAGCCAGCCTCTATCACTCGCCTTACCACTAACCCCTACCATCTAGCCAGCTTCTATCACTCGCCTTACCGCTAACCCCTACCATCTAGCCAGCCTCTATCACTCGCCTTACCGCTACCCCTACCATCTAGCCAGCCTCTATCACTCGCCTTACGACTAACCCCTACCATCTAGCCAGCTTCTATCACTCGCCTTACCGCTAACCCCTACCATCTAGTCAGCCTCTATCACTCGCCTTACCGCTAACCCCTACCATCTAGCCAGCTTCTATCACTCGCCTTACCGCTAACCCCTACCATCTAGCCAGCCTCTATCACTCGCCTTACCGCTAACCCCTACCATCTAGCCAGCTTCTATCACTCGCCTTACCACTACCCCCTACCATCTAGCCAGCCTCTATCACTCGCCTTACCGCTACCCCCTACCATCTAGCCAGCCTCTATCACTCGCCTTACCGCTACCCCTACCATCTAGCCAGCCTCTATCACTCGCCTTACCACTAAACCTCACTACCTAGTCAGCCTCTATCACTCGCCTTACCACTAACCCCTACCATCTAGCCAGCCTCTATCACTCGCCTTACCACTAAACCTCACTACCTAGTCAGCCTCTATCACTCGCCTTACCACTAACCCCTACCATCTAGCCAGCCTCTATCACTCGCCTTACCACTAAACCTCACTACCTAGTCAGCCTCTATCACTCGCCTTACCACTACCCCCTACCATCTAGCCAGCCTCTATCACTCGCCTTACCGCTACCCCCTACCATCTAGCCAGCCTCTATCACTCGCCTTACCGCTACCCCTACCATCTAGCCAGCCTCTATCACTCGCCTTACCACTAACCCCTACCATCTAGCCAGCCTCTATCACTCGCCTTACCACTAAACCTCACTACCTAGTCAGCCTCTATCACTCGCCTTACCACTAACCCCTACCATCTAGCCAGCCTCTATCACTCGCCTTACCACTAAACCTCACTACCTAGTCAGCCTCTATCACTCGCCTTACCACTACCCCCTACCATCTAGCCAGCCTCTATCACTCGCCTTACCGCTACCCCCTACCATCTAGCCAGCCTCTATCACTCGCCTTACCGCTACCCCCTACCATCTAGCCAGCCTCTATCACTCGCCTTACCGCTACCCCTACCATCTAGCCAGCCTCTATCACTCGCCTTACCACTAAACCTCACTACCTAGTCAGCCTCTATCACTCGCCTTACCACTAACCCCTACCATCTAGCCAGCCTCTATCACTCGCCTTACCACTAAACCTCACTACCTAGTCAGCCTCTATCACTCGCCTTACCACTAACCCCTACCATCTAGCCAGCCTCTATCACTCGCCTTACCACTAAACCTCACTACCTAGTCAGCCTCTATCACTCGCCTTACCACTACCCCCTACCATCTAGCCAGCCTCTATCACTCGCCTTACCGCTACCCCCTACCATCTAGCCAGCCTCTATCACTCGCCTTACCGCTACCCCTACCATCTAGCCAGCCTCTATCACTCGCCTTACCGCTACCCCTACCATCTAGCCAGCCTCTATCACTCGCCTTACCACTACCCCCTACCATCTAGCCAGCCTCTATCACTCGCCTTACCGCTACCCCCTACCATCTAGCCAGCCTCTATCACTCGCCTTACCGCTACCCCTACCATCTAGCCAGCCTCTATCACTCGCCTTACCGCTAACCCCTACCATCTAGCCAGCTTCTATCACTCGCCTTACCACTAACCCCTACCATCTAGCCTGCCTCTATCACTCGCCTTACCGCTAACCCCTACCATCTAGCCAGCCTCTATTTCTATCTTCAACCCTAACCAACCATCGCCAAGCAAGCACGAGCAGCCCCCCACTAACTCTAACCTATTTACTGAAGAGCCCCGACCACCAGCCCTATCCCGGCCTCTAACCCCAACGTCTCGCCCCCGACCCCTCCCCCCCCCTGGCGCCTCGCCCCCACCACTGCCGCCACTTCCTCGCTCGCCGCGTGGGTGTCGCGGTTTGGTCGCTGCTCGCGGCGACCGCATGGGGCGGTGTGTGTGGGGGGGGGGGGTGACCCTCACGGGGTGGCACCCAGAACTCGGAGCCATCGTTCCGCCTCGCGCGCGCCAATTGATTGCCATAGTTTCATCGTCCCACGCATTCCTCGCAGTCGCGAGCTCATTAAACTCGTCGCCGAGTAAAATAACAAATTGAAGGAGCAAGACGAAAAAGGAAGGGGACCGGGACGTGAGAAATGCCTATTCTTAGGTTTTTTCGGTAAAGTCACGTAGGTAAAAAATTAAAATTAATAAAAGTAAAAAATTATACAGCTATCGTGCTGTGACGGTTCCACCTGAAGACGGAAGCTTGTGTTGCCTCCGAAACGTCGTGATTTTTATTTTATTTTTATTAATTTAAATTTTTTACCTACGTGACTTTACCGAAAAAACCTAAGAATATGAATCCTTGCAGTCACGAAAGCTTCAAATCTAGAAGTGACAAATGCCACTTGGGACGCAGGCGATGACGCGTGCAGAAGGCGGATTGTGCAGTTTCGTCATCTCGCTCAAGCGGAGCAATCCCCTCGACTTGCTGTTGACGATCCCAGTGACGGAGACGCGCACAGCTCGTTACCTTGCAGCTACGCGGGCCCAGAGTGGGCTGGGCGACCCACGCGAGTTTGTGAACGCACAGAAAGAAAAAAAAGACTTTAAAGTTAGAGGCAGTAGCTTTCGCCATGGAATCCACAATGACGTCACAATAGGCATCATCAGACCGCGCGTCCGTCGCCACGACGCTGTCGCTCGGTGGCAAAGGCGCAGCCCTGCAATTGCCGGCGCACGCCGCCGCTGACGGAAGGGGTCTCCGCTGGAGGCCTCTGTCGCGCGAGGTTATTTTTGGCCGACTCTTGCTCGCTGGCCGTACAACTCGGAAGGGCTGGCGGTAGCCACCACGTGACCTCCACAGCACGCGACCCCGTCGACCGATCGTCGACTAACTGTGATGAGGTCTCCGGCGAGCAAATAACCACGCTTCTGACAGTAACTTTAAAGCATTTGTCTTCGTTGTGGAACGTTTCAAACTCGTGCTGGACAACCTGGGACACACAGCAGTGTGCAGGAGGAGTGGGGCGGTAGCTACGCGACCTTTAAAGACCGTCCACCCCTGAGCGAGGAGTTGCGCAACCCGGTCGCATGCAACTTGGTCGAACGCGACTGAATCGCCCGTCCGTGGACGTCTGTGCAACCGGTTGGGCAAGTTTCAAACAAGACCGCAACAAAAACACTTGTAAAAGAGCAGACACAGATACGTGTGCATTATGGAGAGGAAAAAGAAAACATCAACAGTTCCTGCAGAACTGCACTGTAGCCCTCTTGTATTCGGTGACCATCAACGTCAATTTAAGCAAATGCGACCGTCTGACAGCAGCAACAGCAGCAGCAGCGAGGCAGCGATAGACGACTGCGAACCGGTTTCGTTTAAATTTGGATTCACCAGCACATCACGTGGTCACCCACGCCGAGTCGCGCAACCGGTTGCCTGCGATCGAGACGGAACTTTACTGTTGCGGTGAGACCGAACACGTTGTGATGCTGCTGCTGCTGCGCTGGCAGTCAAGAATAAAGACTCAACACATTCCGTGCCAATAACACTGCCTTCAAACAGAAAGTTACAGGTGACGTTTCTCGCCAATGGCCCTTGCTCGTAGCACGCCAGGAAGAAGGGCCATGTCGCGAAACGTTGCCAATTACATCATCTACTCTCAAGAGATCGGCTCGGCGATTTTGATCGGTTGCGCACCTAATCGTTCAGATGTGGACCCATCTCATTGTTGCACACACGTACTCTCTAAAATGTCCAATGTACGCCGGGAGCTCGTTCATCGTGCCCATAAAGATACAAGCGAGACGTTCTAAACGAATAAATCAAAGCAAGCGACGTGAAATATAAAAAAAAAATTATAATAAAAAAGTCCAGAGGTTAAAGTTCACCGCAGGTTTTTTTTTTCGACTCAGGGTCACGCGCTAAGAAATCTGCGGCAGCCGCTCGCGACTCCGGGGTCAGAGTTCGGAACTTCCGCGGATTTTTATTCTTCTCCTCTTCCTCTACTCACGTGTTCACGTGTTCAGTTTAAAAACCGTTTAAAGTGTCCTCTTGGCTATAGAAGTGCTTTCCGTTTTATGTATCATCTCCCTCCCTCTGCATCGTAAAGTCCACTCGCCACGCGAGCACCTGCACATCTGTGTGTGTGTGTGTGCACGTATGTGAACACGTGTGTGTACACCTATGGGTGCACCTGTACGCGTGTGTACACCTGTACGTGTATACACTTGCACGCATGTACACCTATGTGTACACAGGTGTGTGTGTGTACACTTGTGTGTATACACCTGTGTGTGTGTAGACGTGTGTCTGTGTGTACACAGCTGTACACGTGGGACCCGCGCGCGTACCTGTACCTGCGGCACTTATCTAGCTGTACGGCGCGGGGTGGGGGAGTGTCGGGGTATGAGTGAGTCTTGGTGGCGGTGGTAGTGGGATTAGGGCAGGGGTCAGCAACTAAAATCACAAGAAGAGACATTTTTTTCGAATCCGTTACAAAACTCAATAATTCAAGAGCCGCAATGCATGTGAATACGCACATACAGAACGTGTCGGAGCAGTCGCATGCGACTCGGGAACCGCAGGTTGCCGACCCCTGGGTTAGCGCAAGAGGAGGAGGAGGAGGGGTGAGGAAGGAAGAGGCGGCGTTCCTCCATCTCCGAATAGAGACGTTGCATGATGTTGATAAATCGATGTCGCCTCTATGCGACCCCCCCCCCCCTTCCTGCTCGCCCGAGGCGGCGTCACGACGCTTCGGGGTTTCTTTTTGTGTCGAGAACCAACAACTGAGTGTCGGGGTTCGCGGCGAGACCGCGCGCGCCATGCTTAGTGTCCATACGACAGCCAGGTGAGGTGTGGGGGGGGGGGGGGTCCACGTGGCTTTAGCACACGGGGAGTTGGGATGAGGTCGGGGGTTAATTGGGGGGGGGGGGCTGGGGGAGTGGCAGGGGAGGGGGGCTGGACATAATTGGGCTTCGCCTGACACAAAGATACACCACGTGACCAACTCTTAATTAATGCACTTATTAAGTCACGTGTCGTCACGCTTACGGATTGGTTAATTAAACGATGATCGACTTCCCCCCCTCCGCCCCCTCCCCCCCAAATCCCCCATTTATATCAACACCTCCCCCCCTCTTCACGACACTTGCTTGGGCTAATCACGTGGGAGCCCCCCCCCCCTCGATTTGAGTTCTTGATGAGTCACATGATCAAGGCACTGAGGCGCATCATCATTATCATCATCATCGGCTATCATCATCATCGGCTATCATCATCATCAGCATCGCCTGCAGCTCCGCGTGCCCTTAACCCCGCGCGGTCTGCATCGGGATCTCGGCGGCGGTGTTGGAGTGGTGGGGGGGGGGGAATGCTTCCTGCGGTGGTGGTGAGCAGGCAGGTGAGTGGCGAGGAGGATGAGGAGGCAGGGATCATGGGGAGAGGAGGAGGGAGAGATCATGGGGAGAGATCGGGATGAGAGGCGGGAGCGCGGTGGTTGGCGGTGGTAAGGTAAGCAGCGGTGGGGGTGACGAGGGGGTTGAGTGGTGATGAGGGGGTGCAGGACGTGGGAGCGTTGCAGTTGGATCAAGACGGTGTGGTCAGGATAAGGCTGGTAGTGGTGAGGGTGAGGAGGGTAAGTGGTTAGAGGTGGTGAGGAGGAGGAGGAGGAGGGAGGCAGACTGATTAATGATTCTCCAATGCGCGGTGCGTGCGGGGCATCCTAATGCCTGCCCGGGGATCTAAGCGACTCTCAGCGCTTACAGCCGGGACGGGGGGGCAGGGGGTGAGCGCCGCGGGGGGAGAGGGGGGGCAAGGAATTGGGGGGGGGAGCTAGGAGGGAATTCATTAACTGGACGGGGGAGGGGGTACACAGGCACAAACTCATATTCATCTCCGCTCAGTAACGAGTAAAAAAAACCCTGGTTCTCGCAAAATAAATACATCCGCTATTGCACCAGAGAGAGAAAGGAGGGGGGGGGGGTGGAAGTTGGTGGGGGGGGGGGGCTCTTAGGGGGGGGGTGCAATTTGCGCATCCCGCCTGGTCACGTGGCCAGTTCGGGGTGGGGGGGGGGGTTAAGTGCCGACAAGTTCGATAATAAAACCAATAATACAAAACTTCGACTTAGCCCACGACACACGACTCTAGTTACGTCTGTTATAAGATTATTATTTTTTTGCTTGATTATTCTTTTAAAGGCGGGTCATTTTTAATATATACGGCATATAGATAGCGTGAGTGTGTGATTCATTGTTGCAACGGCTCGCTTAGCAAGGACCCACGGCTTCTTCAAAAGAGTGCACGAGTGAAATGGGAGCCGCCGTCACCATCATGATCATCATCACGATCATCATCCTGATCATCACCATGATCATCATCACGATCATTATCATCATGATCATCACGATCATTATCATCAACACGATCATGATCACCATCATCATGATCATCATCATCATCAGACCACGTGACGCTCCTTATTGCTTGAATCGGGATCGGCGTGATGGCTGACTTCGTGGACCACTGAGCGAGCGATCGAAGGCAGCGCGGCCTTCGATCGCTCGTCCCCCGCCCGTTCGGGCTCCACTCGTAGTGCGCGCGCACCGCGCGGACTCCGACTCCTCAGTTAGACTCATGGAGTGACGAGGTGTGTGTGTGTTTGTGTGTCAGTGAGTGTCTGTGTGTGTGCGGGTCAGTGTGGGGAGCGGCGGCGTTGCGGTCAACGCGCCGCGCTACGAATCCGGCGACCCCAGTTCGAATCTCGCTCACGGCCAGCATCGGTAACAAATATCTGGACCGGTCCTGGGCCTCCCCTAGGTCGACTCAGCCTCAAATGAGTACCTGGTGCAGTGTGTAAACATCGCCACGAGGGAGACAAAGGTGGCCGGGCGCGGCGTTGGCCACTCACCCCGTCGTGTGCCGTACCAGCGTTCAGAGGTGCTCGCTAACAGCACTTGCCCCAACAGTCTGTTAAGGCTACACGGGGGATCTTTGTCTTTGTGTGTGTCAGTGTCGTTCGCACGAACCCGACCCGGCCTCGTGATTTCCGAGGCTCCATTCCGCGCGACCATCCACCACGATCCGGCTTTCCATGTTTGCCAGAGTTCTCCTTTCAACTGCACATTAAGTCGGCACACGCCGCACGCGCCTCGCGAGTGCTAAACGCGTCAATCAAAACGCGGAGCGCTCTTCTTAAACCTCAATTTAAAATCAGGGCCGTCAGCGTCACGCGGGGAACAAAGATAAAGATCCCCCGTGTAGCGTATAACGGACTGTTGGGGCAAGTGCTGTGAGCGAGCACCAACGGAGATCGGCACACCACACTAAGGGGGGGTGGGTAGCCAACATCTCGCCCGGCCGCCTTTGTTTCTCCACTGCTGATGCTTTACACACATCGCACCAGTCGGGAGCAGAAATCGAACTCGGGTTGCCGTGATCGTAGCGCAGTGCGCTAACCACTTTCCCACCGCTCCCCACGCGGGGAACACACGCACACACACACAAATGTCGGTCTCCATTGCAATCAGCGCTCCCTCCGCCAAGTGGAGACGTGTTCACCAATCATCAGGCGCGTGTAGTTTGATGACGACCCAATCGGCATTCTGATCATTTGGTGCATGCGCAAGAAGCACATTGACCATGGTGGAGGTGGGTGGGCGGGGCTCAAGATGGCATAAAGTTGGGCAACCCCAATGCGACCCGAGCCCCCCCTCCCTCCCTGCCCCACTTACTCGGCTGGCTCCAACTTAATTTCGGCCGCCCCACTGCTCGCGCTGTTGCTGTTTCCAACATTGTTGCTGCTGCTGCTGCTGCTACCGCTGTTGCCGCTATTGTTGCTGCTGCTGCCGCCACTACCGCTGTTATTGTTGACAGTGGCGGCCGACACGACGACGGCAACGGCGGTGGAGGCGGCGGGCGACGCGGCGCCGGCCACGACGCCGTCCTGCTTGGCAGCCCGGTGCCACTTCTTCACGTGCTTGATGAGCGTGGCGTGGACGTTGAAGGCCATCTGGCACACGTCGCAGCGGAACGCTTCTCCTCCTCCACCTCCTCCTCCAGCCACTCCTCCTCCTGCCGCCGCAGCCGCCACCACCGTTCCGCCGCTGCCCTTGAGGTGCGTCTTCATGTGGCGCGTCAGCTTGCTGCTCTGCGCGCACGCGTAGCTGCACAGCTCGCACTTGTAGGGCCGCTCGCCCGTGTGCGACCGCCGGTGGACCGTGAGGTTGCTGCCGTTCTTGAACGACTTCCCGCAGAACTCGCAGCGGTTGCTGCCGGCGCCGCTGCCGCCGCCGGCGCTCCCGGAGCGCCCGTTGCTCGAGCTGGCGGGACTGCCCGCGCTGGGCTCGGAGCTCGTGTCTTCGCCAGATTCGCGCTGCTGCTGCTGCTGGTGGTGCTGCCGGTGGTGGTGGTGGACGTGCGGCTGCAGAGGGGGCGAGGCCGTCGACAGCTGGAGGCTGCCATTGTCGGACGAGGCCGAGGAGCAGGCGAAAGGAGAGCGGCGCGACTGCGAGTCGCCGACGATCCCCGGCGTCACGGCGGAGCCCGGCAAGGAGCCCGGCACGGAGCCCGGCAGGGAGCCGAGCCCCAGGGACGCGAACCCCTCCTTCTTGAGCTGCTGGCGGGAGGACGCGTAGCTGGCCAGCCACTGCGAGTACACGTTCTCCGTGGGCAGCGCGGACAGCGGGGCCAGCGACGAGGCCGGCGGAGCGAGGGGGCTGCCCCCGACGTCCGCCTCCCGTTCAAGCTTGATGCGCTTGCCCGGCATGATGGGGCTGCCACCGGACGCGCGGCCCCCCTGCAGGGCCGAGGGGCTGCCCCCGCGGCCGTTCACGGCGTCCTCGCCGCACCCCCCCGCCGCGTCGCCCCCCTCGAAGCCGACGACGGTGCCCGCGGCGGCGGCCGCTGCGGCGGCCGCCCCCTTCCTGCGGGGGCCGAAGGCGTCGTGCAGGTGGCCTCGCAGCAGCAGTGCGTCGAGGCCCAGGCGGTCGGGAGTGCCGCACACGAGGGCGTCCAGGGAGAATGCGGCGGTGCCCTTGGCGTCGAAGGGCAGCCTGCCCACCGCCGCCGTGCCACCACCGCCGCCGTTACCTCCCACGCCGCCCGTGCCGCCGCTGCCCTTGGCGAGCGTTTCCGACTGGGTGACGCGGCTGTCGGCATTCCTGAGCGCGGGCAGCAGCAGCTGCTGCTGCTGCTGCCCCGCAGCCGGGCCTCCGGGCAGCAGTGCGAGCTTGGAGTCAGAGGAGCAGGAGGTGGAGAGCGTCCGGCGCAGCAGCGCCTCGCTGAACGGCCGACTGTTGCTCAGGCTCATGATGGCCGCGCTGGCAGACATGGCGTGGGAGAGCGCGTCCCGGGTGGTGTGGCCGCGCTCCGCAGCCTCGTCGTCGCCCACCTCCTCCTCCTCGTCCCCCTCCTCCTCCTCGTCTTCGTCCTCGGCCTCAGCTTCGACCCCGTCTGGGTGGAGGCACCGCACACGCACGGGAGAGCGGACAGTGACGGCATGATCATCGTCATCATCGTCATCATCATCGTCATCATCGTCGTCGCCGTTATGAGCAGCAGCAGCTGTAGCAACAGTACCATCATTATGATGAGTAGAAATAGGAGCATCAGCAACAAACACAGTAGCAATGGTAGAGGAAATAGCATCGAGTAACACTTTATACTCATGATGTGACCACACCTTAACAATGTGACAACACCCCAACGATGTAATTCTTAACACGAAAGTGCCCGCAACCTCCACTATGCGTTCCATCCTCACCCTCCACGTCATCTTCATCCGACTCCTCCAAATCCGCATCTCCCTCCCCTTCTTCCTCCTCCACCTCTTCCTCCTCCTCCACCTCGTCTTCCTCCTCCTCCCTTCCCACCGCCTCGCCGCCCCCGTTCCCGGCCACGGCCGCCGCCGTCGATGCCGTCGTCGCCGCGCCCGTCGGGCCCGGCGAGGCCGAGGCCACCACGGCGGCCGCCCGTGCTGAGAAGTCGTTGCAGTACTGGGCGACCACGGAGCGCAGCACGGAGCTCGCGCTGCCCGGCGGCGCGGGGCCCCCCCCCCGTCTCCGCTCGCCGCCGCCAGGGTCCGGTTCCGGGGAGCTCCCCTCGGCGGCGTGGCCGTCCTCAACCTTGACCCGGGCCAGAGGGTCCGGAGTGATGGACGGGGAAGATGACGACGATGCCGGTTGTTGTTGTTGTTGCTTGCTGTCGTGTCGCCGCCGGTGCTGGTTGTGGTGGTGGTGGAGGAGGAGGAGGTTCGGGTGGTGGTGGTGCTGGTGGTGGTGGTGCGTGCGCATGTGGCGTTTGAGCTTGCTGGCCTGTGGAGAGGCATGGGGGGGGGGAGGAATGTGTTGGGGGGGGGGGTGTAAGGGGGGTTTTGGGGAAGAAATTACATGACAGGAGAGAAGAGGTGAGGATATTGCAGGAGGTAGGAGGAGAGAGGAGTAGAAGATGATGCCAGGAGATAATATCACAAGAGATGAATGAGCAGGAGGTGAAATAGGAAGAGAGGACGGGAGATGGCAGAGCAGAGGAGATTGGGTGGCATGAGATGAGACGCAATGAGATGGGGTGAGACGCGAGAGTGGAAGAGATGACAGGTAATGAGATCAGAGCAGACGATGGGAGAAGTCGGGGTATGAGGTCACGAGAAGGCGGGAGCGCAGAGGTCAAGAGGGAGGCAATATATATCATCGATTAGCACGACAGTCACAGTCACGTGAGATCAGCATCCACGATAGCAGCGGCTCAGAGATAAAATAATCGTCTCCCTTCACTAGGAGAGGCCTTTTCCAGTCTCCACACTCCTCACCATAGGCCAGAGTGAGGGCCAGACCCCATGGTTAGTCTTCTCTACGGCCAGGGCTCTGGTATAGAAACCTTATAAGGTCATGGGTAAGGTTAGGCTATGCCTAGGAATGTGTTTATGGTTTGGGCCCCACAGGACTCAATGTAGGGTTTAGGGGGTACAGAAACATTATTTGGGGTTTTCGGTAAAGCCACGTAGATAGAAAAAATATCACGACGTTTCGATCGCAACAGGTGACGATTGCTTGTGCTGCGATCGAAATGTCGTGATATTTTTTCTATCTACGTGACTTTACCGAAAGACCCAAAGAATATGAATTCCTGCAGTCGCAAAAGCTTTAAGTCGGTACAGAAACAGTTTTAGGGTTTAGAGCCTAGAGGATTAGCATGGCAATTTATGATCCACAGGACTAGGTTTATGGTTTAGAACCTAGGATTTAGTCTCTTTACGTTTGATATTGGAGTTTAGGGCCTATGCTTTAGGCTCTATAGGTCTGGGGTTGGGGTTTAGGCCCAAGGGTTTAGGCTCCACGGGGCTTGGGGTTTCGAACCGAGAGTTTAGGCTCTATAGATAAGGGCTTGGGGTTTAGGGCCTACGGTTCAGGCTCTATAGATAAGGGCTTGGGGTTTAGGGCCTAGGGTTTAGGCTTGTTAGGGCTGGGCTTGGGGTTTCGGCTCGACAGGGCTTGGGTTGGCGGTTCACGAGCTAGGCCCGAGGCTGCCCTGGCGCCGCACCTGGGAGCAGGCGTGCTGGCACACGCGGCAGCGGTAGGGCCGCTCCCCGGTGTGGCTGCGCCGGTGAACCACGAGGTTACTCTGAAACTACACATTGCGCGCCGGTTAGCGAGCGCCTATTGCCCGCGCGCCATAGCCGTCGGTGCAGCCACACCACCGAGGCGATGGCGGGGCCAGCACCACCGCACGCCCACGCCGCCGCCTTTTGTCTCTCCTCCGCCAAAGCCATAAACTGACGGTGACCCACAAACCGCCACACACCGGAGTACACGTACTGAAGTGCAGTCGGGGTTTGCTTGTTTTATAGTCTGAGTCTATCTAGGAGAGACTCAAACCAGCCTGAATACATTGCGTTTTGTCATTCGACTAATTAATTACCTGCCCTAATTAGATATTGCCCATCATTCTTGTAAGGTCGATAACTTGCAAAACACTTTTGTGGGAAATGCCAATGGGTTCTCGTCTAACAGAACCACTCATGCCTTCCATAGGAATGTGGAATTTCGAACACTTGCTCGAGGCAAAATGAGAGCCGCTCATTGCCTCGAACGATCAGGGAAGCTCCTGGACCTGTTAAAAGGTAAGGGCGCAGCCCTGCAAGTGTTCGCTCACCCCACCAGGAGTACTCACACTTTACCCCACCACATGCAACCTTCCACCCATAGACTCGGGGTTTATCCACGTATCCTGCTGGGTGGACTCGAGGCGCTATCCTGCACGTGAGCGCATAACGGCTTCATAATAATAACGCGCATTTGCACGGACGATATTTGCATAAACCTCATTTGAATAAGACTCTGGACTGAGACTAATGATTTAACTCCCACTGGATTTAATCGTCGTCATTAAAGGAAGAGTCTCACGCGTGTTGGGGTTGCGTAGGGTGAACTCTCAATGCAGAAGTCCCCAGTTCAATCTCCCGTCGTGGCAGCTGAAACAATCGTGCAAGTTTATAAAATTCTGTTAACTGTTGTCATTGTTTTGTTGCTTGTCTTGTTATTATTGTTGTTGTTTACTTTCTATCGTCGAGGTTGCCGGAGGTTTTGTTTGCCGTGAACGTTACGTTTCGTCGTGATTGTTGCTTTGCTACTTCAGTGGAGTTGGCCAAACATCTCAGTGTAGGACCACAGAGCTTGGGCAACTGCTGGCGCGCCGCTTCTGGCCGCCTTCCCGCGCGTCTCCATGATTCGCATGAACGATGCTCAAGATCTAAAATCAACAAGTGCGATGTGACGTAATGCGTGTTGTTTGTTGGCCAGGGCACGTGGGTATCCCTTGGGGCCAAACTTCCCCTCGTTAACCCCTCCACCACCCGACAAGATTTCCACGTTCACAAAGATATCCTTTATACGTGCCAGTGATAATAATGATATAATTTGTTTTTAAAAAGTCAACACATTTATCAATAACACTGTGTGGCCAGGAAATGAAAAACAGGTGACGTTTCAGGCAATGGCCCTTTATCATAGCACATCGATACAAAGGCCGCAGTTTTATCCACTTTTCCTTTTTGACCTATGTGCTCTGAAAAAGGGCCAGTGCCCGAAACGTCGCTTTATTATAGGTCACCTTGAAGCTCTTCCCGCAGAACTCGCACGACTTGCGCGCCGCGCTCCCGGCCGCCGTGGGCAGGGCGAGCGACGAGGCGAGGTCGGGCGGGGTCAGCGACCCCGTCACGGGGGGCCGGGCCCCGTTGCCGCTAGGGGTCTGCAGCGGGGAGAGGGGACCCCCTCCTAAAGATCCCAGTCCGGGGGTCCCGAGGAAGCTCAGGGTCCCTGGCGGAGACTGCAGGAGACGCGGTCTCCCCGGGGAGATTGGCGGAGTGGAGCCGCTGTTGTTGCTGCAACCGCTCAAGTTGTTGTTGTTGTTGATTCCGCCGCCGCTGCTGTTGTTGTTATTGTTGTTGCTATTGTTGTGCTGGCTGGTGTTGTTGGCCAGTTCTCGGAGCCGGCGAGAAAAGTCCATGCCGGGCTCCATGGTGATCTGCGCCACCCCGCGCTGCCCTCCGGCCGCTGCCCCGCTGCCGCCCCCTGGCCCCGCGGCCCCTCCGAGACACGGGGGCAGCAAGTGATCTTCACCGCCGCGACCCGAGGGCAGCTGCTGCTGCTGTTGCTGCTGCGGCGGCGTCTGGTGGTGCGTAGCGTGCGGGTTGTGGTGGTGGGCGTGATGGGGGTGGTGGTGGTGGTGGCCAGGAGTGCTGAAGAGCGGCGGTGTCCCCAAGCGCACGTCACCCAACCCAACGCCGACCCCTGCCAACCGCAACAAGTTCAGCGGGCTGCCCTCAAAGGGCAGCCCCGCAGCCGCGGCCGACGAGGCCGAAGCCGTGAGCTGCATCGGAGCCACCGCCTCCGCCGTGGAGATTCCAAGCCTCGCCGCCGCGGCCGAGGCGACGGCCGGCGGTGCCGCAGACGAGGCGGAGGACGATGAGGCGCTGCCCCCGCCGACTCCCGCCGCTCCCAACCTAGGGCTGCCCCCGGCGTCGTCGGCCTCGGGGCTGCCCCGGCGCTGGGCAGCGCCCGCGGTTGGTGTTGTGGTGGCGGCGGCGACGATTCCGCCACCACCCCCACCGGCCGCACCTCCTCCAGCCACGCCGCCGCCGCCGGTGGCCACTCCACGTTCCAGGTAGATGCCGATGCCGTGCGCACGCTGCGCGTGCTGCATGAGAGGCCACGCGGCACGGAACATGCGGCCGCACGAGACGCAGACGTGGGCGCTCGGCTCGGCCTTACCTGCAGGGAGACAGCCGAACATGTGCGGTGATTGGTTGCTCGATTAGCTAATTCAATAATTGCGTGCGTAATTTAGACATCGTCATCATTATTATCATGCCCATAATAATCGTGTTGCAGCAGCAGCAGTGCCCGATTCACAAATACGAAGGAGGAGGCATCATAACAGCGATTCACCACTCCGCTACTCTTGGCGCTAATCATATGGCTCAATGTAAAATCACAGCTGTCGCTCTAAATCAACATCAGCCGTGCAAAGAAGTATATAAAGATCTACAGATCACACTCAGACCCACCGACTCGCATAGAAAACCCCAAACTCGCATAGAGACCCACAGACTCACACTGAGATCCACAGACTCGCATAGAGACCCACAGACTCACACTGAGATCCACAGACCCACATAGAGACACACAGACTCACATAGATATCCATAGACTCACACAGAGATCTATGCGAAGGAGGAGGCATCATCACAGCGATTCACCACTCCGCTACTCCAGGGGCAATCATCTGGCTCATCAACCACCTCCAAGATGTTGATCTTAACATCAACATCGGCCACGTGGAGACAGATCAGTGCTGGGCGCGTTAACCGGCCACCTCGCCCCTGGTGCACCGTGGGGGGCAATTGCGAGCAGCACTTGCCCCAATAGCCTGTGTAGGCTACATGGGGTTATTTGTCTGCGCGTGCGGCACGGTCGAGCAAAAATAAACCTCGACCAAGCAGCGCGAACTCTCCCCCTGCCACGCGCTTTCCACTCTCCCTTCTCTCCCTACCACCCTCTCTCTCTCCTTCCATATCTCTCTTCCACGCACTCCCTCCCACTCTCTTCCTGCTCTGCCTCAAGCCTAGAGAGCAAATCCCTGCCCCGGTCATTCTGGCCGTCATGATCATCACCATCATCAGCAGCGATATTGCTGCTGCTGCTGAGGATGATGATGGATGACGACAGTGATGATGATGGATGACGAGAGTCGCAGACGGATGAAGTTTAAGCCTCCAGCACCCCCCCCTCCTCAAATGAGGGCCCCCTCCCTCCACCCAAACCTGGGTCCCCCAGGTGGGGTTATGGGGGTCGCGGATAGGGGTCAGATGGTCAGGGTCTCGCGGTAACGGGGTCACGGTGTGGAATGTCGGGTTAATCTAAAGCCTCGACTGCAGAGGTGGGGGGGGGGCAACGTCAACTCCCACGAATACCCCCCCCCCCCCTGCTTAATTCGGGTTCCAAATGTGGCTCGGAGGTCGGAGACGCGGAGACGGCGGAGCGGGCACGGCCGTCGAGACCTCCGGTGGGTTCCTCGCTCCGCGTCTCGGGCCCCGACCACAGCGGCGCTGCTGACGACACGGCGGAGCTCGCGGTTCAACAGTTTACATCGAGAAGTGCGGCCAACACTGCGCTGCAGGCAAACACAAACATTGCCCCGTACAGCCTCGAACAGGCTGTTGGGGCAAGTGCTGTTAGCGAGCACCTATGAGGGCCGACACGACACACAAGGGGGTGGGTGGGTGGGTGGCCGGCACCACGCCCGGCTCCCTTTGTCTCCCCAGTGCTGATGTTTGCACACCGCTACCAAGTACCCATTTTAAAGGCTGAGCCGACCTAGGGAGGCCAAGGACTGCTTTAAATGTTTTCCGCTGACATTGGTCGTGAGCAGGAATCGAACGCGGCTTGCCGCAACACTGGCGCTCCCCATATCCACAGACACATACAGACACAAAGATCCCCCCTATAGCCTTAACAGACTGTAGGGGCAAGTGCTGTTAGCGAGCACCTATAAAGGCCGGCATGGCACACGAGGGGGTGGGTGGCCAGCACCACGCCCGACCGCCTTTGTCTCCCCAGTGGCGAACACCAATCTCACAGCCACCAACCGTCTTCCCCCTCCACAATGTTGTGTATCGTGAGTCGAAATAATCGACAAATCGATGCGTCGTTAATCGGTGACTATTTAATCGACGATCGTATGCGCTCTCTTTGAGGATCAGTCATGACCACTGAGCCCCGAGGGGACGTTTGTGATGAACTCGGTGGCGGTAGCCAGGTTGGCATGGGCCCAGGCGCACGGAATTAAATATGCCCCCCCCCCACTTCCTCCAGTGTCCAATTCCTCCCCTCCCCCCCCCCCCGCCGCCGCCTCTCAGGAGTCCCGGCACAGTTGCACCGCCTGCACACTCCTTGAAAATATAATAATCTACACCACTGATGTCTTAGCCCCCCCCCCAGACCCCCCTTTTAGCCTCTCCCCCCCCCCGCTTCCCCCCCTCCCCTCCACACACACCCGGACCACCCCCGCACCCTACTGCGTAGGAGGAGGAATGTTGGATGGCATTGGAAGTCTCGGAAGAGTGAAATCATTAGTTTTAAAAGTTGGAGCTGTCAGGAGTTTGGGTCAATTCTCCACACAGCGGCGCAAGGTCAGGGCCAAGGCCATTCGAGGCGGCCCATCTCCATTATTAATGAGCAGGGGGCCGATGGGGGGGGGTTAAATAAATACATACCAAACTAACTGAACAAACGAATACGTTAGTTGGCAGATAGGCTGGCGAACGAATACAACAACACGGTGTGTGGATGTATAACAGACGGCGACAAATCGAAATCGTGACCCCGTCTCAGTCGCGGTGCAGACACAGAGAGAGAGAGCAGTGAGCGTGGTTGTGTTACAGTGAGAGAGAGGGGGGAGAGATGGAGAGATGGAGAGAGAGAGGGAGGGGAGAGGAGGCTTGTATGTCTGGGCTTGAACCAGAGAGCAGGGAATCGACAGCACGGACCGCGGTAGGTGGGGGGTGGAGAGGAAGCTCCACACCAACCTGAGTTCGATTCCCGGCCACGGGCAACATCAGTGGGCGGGTGATGTCTGAAATGGTATCGCGACCTCTCGCCTACCTCCCTTCACTTATTCGCAATGATCATCGTGGTGAAGTTTGGTCAACCCCCCCCCCCCCCCTAGCAATGGTAAAAGCGCTTCCAATCTTGCCGCTTGTGTACCCAGGAGGGTCCTGCCAAGTAGGGGAGCGACGTCATTTGCAGGTAATGTATTTTAGCATTGGGATGCAGTTTGGCCAATCGCAGTTACACTGCGCGCGTGTGTGTGTTCCTTTAGCTTTGGGAGGAAACTGGAGAACACAGAGGAAACCCATGCGGAACAAGCGGAGAACACATAAACTCCACATACTCACTCACACGGTAACAGAGACAAAGATTACCCGTATAGCCTTCACAGACTGTAGGGACAGGTCCTGTTTTGCGAGCACATATGCAGGTCGGCATGGTACACGAAGGGATGGGTGGCCAGCACTACGCCCGGGCCGCCTTTGTCTCCAAAGTGGCGATGTTTATACATTGCACCGGCTAATAATCTGAGGTTGAGTCGACCTAGGGGAGGCCTATGACAGGTTCAGATAATTGTCGCTGGTGTTGGCTGTGAACGGGAATCGAACTCGGGTGGTCGGGTTCGTAGCGCAAGCGCGGTGCCCGTCATTCGCCACCAGGTGACGCCACCACGGAGCTAGTACCAGACTAGGTGCACCGTGAGGCCACGTGAACTGTCGAAGGCTCACTGCTGACAGGAGGTCATGGGACAGACCCAAGTGCTGTGGGTCGACTGATATGACCGGTTTCCTACTGTGCTAATAAGGCAAAGATCACCCTTATAGCCCTTACAGACTGTGGAGGAAGGCCGGCACGGTACACGAGGGTATGGGTGGTCAACACCACGCCCGGCCGCCTTTGTCTCCCCAGTGGCGCTGATTTTTCACACCGCACATGGTACTCATTTGAGGTTGAGTCGACCTAGGGGAGGCCCAGGACCGGTTCAAATGATCGTCACCGGTGTTGGCCGTGAGCGGGAATCGAGCCCGGGTGGCCGAGTTCGTAGCGCAGCGCGATAACCGCTACACCACCGCTCCTCGCAGTCACAAACCAACTCACACTCTGCAGAACCAGAGAGTCGGGGGGGGGGGGGGGTGATGACATACAAATTCCCCACAGCAAAAAGGACGCCCCGAGTCGGAACTCGAACCCAGGTGCTTCTCGCTGTGGAGCACGAGTGTGACGAGCTAGGCTGCCTCCACCCTGGTGCCCATCCTAACCCCCCCGGGGTCCACGCGTCGTCTGTCCCCCGCCTACGCTGCTCCACCTCGGGTGGACGCGTGGCCTCCTCGCCCTTGGAAACGAGACGGTCCATCTCTCGGAGCAGTTCCAGGTGACGTATTTTTAAATCCTTTATATTAAGTTCGCATGCTTGCTTAGGACCGTGCAAATCTTTCGGTCGTTTTTTAACCCACTTCCTGTGATCCAATCGAGCTGAAATTTTACACTGTTTAGGGAAAAAAACATATTTAATTACCAATTGTTTAATGCTGCCAGACAATCATCTGACCCATAGGTGGCAGCCATCTCAAGCCAGAGGACGAGAGGACTCTAGCCGCCCCGATGCCACGCATATAAAGGATTTATAGTGGAAAAACTTTGTTTTTACGGGTTTACTTGTTTAAATCCTTTATATTAAGTTCGCTTGCTTGCTTGCTTAGGATCGTGCAAATCTTTCGGTCGTTTTTAAACCCACTTCCCGTGATCCAATCGAGCTGACATTTTGCACACAGACTCGTTGTGTGTGACAATGAATTTTCGTGAAAATTTTTTCCAAAATTTTACACTGTTTAGGGAATTTTTAAAAAATATTTATTTACCAATTGGTTAATGCTGGCACACAATCATCTGACCCATAGGTGGCAGCCATCTCAAGCCAGAAAACTAAAGGACTCTAGCCGCCCCGATGCCACGCATATAAAGGATTTATAGTGAAAAACTTTGTTTTTACGGGTTAATTTTTTATGTATAAACCTCGAATTAAGTACCCAGCTGATATGGGCCAAACCAATCTTACACATGTACACATCGTGCTGTAGTACTCACGCAGCTACGTGCATCGTAGGTGTGAGAGGATGGGGAGGGAAAGAGGAGGAGAGAGGAAGATGAGGAGGGGAGGGGGG